AAGAATTTGTTTATAAAATGTCTGGGACGTGAACAGACTTCGCTGTCTAACCTACAGTTGTGCAGTTCTTATCAGAGATGCACGTCCTTAAAACGTTGTCCATAGCAGTAGACTCTTGGAAGTACAACCATGAGAGAACAAAGGAGTGGGTATGAGTTTGGTTTTAACATCTTACACAGTGACATCTCGTTGTACAATTGGAACCTCTAAGAGGCAAAGGTGTGCAAAATAAGTGACTTTTTTTTCCCTATTCTCATCCTGTTTCAGCTGTACCTAGGGATCACCTCTGAGGACAGGCCCATCATTTGCTTTTCATGCCTGTTTAATGCTTGGCCTATTCTTAATCAATCCTTAGGGCTTTCAGTTGTGGTGAGGTGATAGGAAGATGTGTTTTTTCTAAGAACTTACGGAGTCCATACTGTTTTTTTCAGAAATGTCTTTCAAAAACAACAGATACTGAATATAAAGCTATACCTTACAGTAGTGTCTTAGAGGAGTAAGTTAAAAATGAACTTCTAGAACACGAGAAAAACCTTGCCGCATCAGACCGAATGTCTATCTAACTGAGCATTCTGTCTCCTTCCCATAGTATCAGCTGCGGTTGAATTAAAGAATTAAATGAGCAAGTAGGGATGCTTCCTTAGAAAAGCATCAGAACCTGAAGTGATTTGCAACATGGAACTTCTTTAATTTATAGCTCTAGGTGGCTTTTTTTCCTCTATGGAATTGTTTGGCTGCTTTTGAACCCGTATAAATGCCCTGACAATAATGCACACTGTTTTCTGTAGGTAGGTGAGCATGTAAGCAGAGAAGGTCAAAGAAATGCCCTCTGCACTGGAGCATGGTGAGGTTTGTGAGCTTGGTTCCTAGAGGAGTTGATTGTTAAGCCTTTGATCTGCCTCTGAGAAAAAACGTCTTCTTGTGATCATTAAGCAGCTGAGTCTAGACTGTGTAATTTATCACACCGTTTGTAATAGAATACGTAAGCAGCACATTCCCTTTGCAAATGCTCTTTCATGTGTATGGAAGAATTTTTCCCAATCCTGTTTTTGTTTGGGGATGGTGCCAAAACTGTTGGTGTCTGGAGAAGGAAAGGAGTTGGAATATCATACGGGTTTAGAACTCACCTGCTAATAAAAGTGTGTATTCCAAGCTGAAACCTGGAAGAGAATGGTAGTGACTGAGAAGACCTTACTAAGTTCCTTAAGGTAGTACGGATGTGCAGATGTAATGGCATTAGTGGGCAACAGCACACTGAAAGAAGCATGTCATTGTAGCATGTTCATTAATCTTTTTATTGCATCGTTAATAATAGTGCCTTTGAATCCCTCCTGCTGTGCTGCCACAGGACTATTTGTCATCAAAAAACCTAGGGAAAAATCACTTTTAATTAGAAGAACTACTTAACCTGTTTTAAAACATTGATCCTTTCTTCTCCTTTTCCTCTCTTCAGTTTTCCAACTTACTGCTATTTGTCTTTGTAGTTTATATTCTAAGCAAGCTGGGAACTCAACTTGCAGGAGGCAAAGAAATCTGCTTTTAATCTCAGTTTACCAGGATCTAGGATACCGTTTGCTGATACGGTTTACAGCAAAGTCTTTTTGGTAATACTTGTGGGTTACAGAGGTGTGATCACATTCCTCTGAAGTAAACACTGGGGCTGTCTGGTTCCCGAAATTCAGTCATAGTATAAAAAGACACAAAACCAAATCCTTTTCAAAATATTACAGACATCTTTTATGTAGATTAAGCAAAATGGAGTGGTGTCATACAAACTTACTGTGGTGGTTGTTAGCAATCAGTTTGCATGCTTTCAGCAAAATTCAATAGTGGATCATTTTCTGGGCCGTAAAATAAAATCTTACATGACACTTCTTTCCCCTCCACCTTTTCTTTCCAGTTAGTAGCTATGTGCTTTTTGGTAACTGACTAGAAATGTGTGGTAGCTTTTATGACCGTGTCTATTTTAGCTCTGAAGGAATGCATTCAGCCTCCCATTTTACAAAGGCAGAATAAAGGCAAGGCCACAAATCGCTAAGAGACTGCATACCTACTGTACTGACTTCATGTCAGAGCATTTCTGCAAACGTGAAGAGCAGGACAGCAGTTTTCATCTGTTCTGTTTCTTGTAGCCAGATCTTTATTTTCTTCATTGCTGTGTTGTCTGTCTGTCATAAGCAATGTCCCCACCATTGTAATCTTCATGACTGCAGCCTGTTCCCTCCATATTCCATTCGTGTCACTTTGTCCTCAAATCAATGTGATATCTGCATCTTATAAAAACTCTCAGCTCTCTAGCCCGCAGGCATCTGATGTGTTTCATTAGATTTAGCTGCTTTCCAAAAACATAAGGATATTAATATAGACTGATTAGATGAACTGCACTTTGATATCAAATGTGATGTTTTTCTCTGATTCTAAATTTGTCAGAATTTCTGTGGTACTTGAGGCCAAAACGACTTAGTCTGACCTCATCTCGCTGGATCTGTTGGCATTGACTGGTCTTTGATACAAAAAGATCTCCTTACTCTGTGACTTTTGCTGCTTTCCTCTGTTGGAAAGATATTTAGAATACAACTCAAAGTGCGGGGGATGTTTTGAGTGTATTACCAACTCAAGAGCTCCCTGTTCTTGTCTCTCCACTGCTTGTGGCTGCCCCTCTGCAGCCTCCTTTATAGCTGTTAATGGCCCTTTGTGAGACCACACAACCTGCAGTAGCCTGGGGAACTGTTCCAGCTTTAAAATAACCGTGCAAAGAAAAATGTAAATGCCTTTATTGTAATTTCATGTTTCCAGGCTTGCAGGATTATTGAAAAAAAAAAGGGAATTGCTAGTTACACAATGTTTTCTGAATAAGGTAAGATGCTTAACATGATTGATGGTCAACCTTCTAACTCATGCAACAGTCCTATAGTTCACTTTAGAACATGAAAGGCTGTGTCCTGCATTACCTACTTCCCACCAGTATTTTTTATACTGACTTTTAATGCAGCATTATCTTAGGGTAATATTCACTACTTGTAGACAGTCTAGTACCTGTCACAGTTTGGCTTTTATTGAAAGTAATGTGCTGGATCTTTCTGTTTGGAGAGTTCTATGCATCTGAAGATTTTGATGGAGTTTTTTTAAGCACACATCTACATAATCAGTTTGTTGTGATCAGCCAGATTTTTTTAGTGGCTGACAGTTCAGACACTGGTTTCAAGCCATTTGATACCGTTACTTATGGTTACCGTTACTTTTGGGATATTTTTAACCATAAACCCCTAGACATTAGGGTTTACTTGAATGTCTAGAAAAGAGTGTCATTTCAGATAGAGATTGCTTTTTTACAGGGACTGAGGATGACCCAGGAGCAAATACAGTTCTTGCCTGACAGCACATAAGGAGTGTGATAAATGTTCCTGTTGTGTGTGATCCATGGGCATTTCCACTTGTCTATAATACACAATTTCCACTTGTCTATAATACACAATTTCCACTTGTCTGTAATACAGACAAAATCTGTGTTACGTATTTTGGCTTGTTGCACTATTTGTATAGTATGTTTTTGGGGTATGTAGTGACTTTCTAGGCCATTCTGCTCTTGCCCATCTTGAGGGAATACTATTTTGTAGCTTCCTGGACATGCAGCATTATGTCCTTCCTTGTGTGCTTGCTGTCCAGTGTCCTGAGCTTGGATGACTTCATTCAGGACTCTCAAAAAAGCATCGGAAGTACGTTTCCCACTTGGAAAAGAATTTTTGAATGAAAAGGTGGGCGTCATACCTGTGGAAGGGCTGCCCTGACGTCTTATACGAACTTATTCAATGCTAAACCTCACCTGGGCAATTTGTGGTACCTTGGGAAGTCCTGCATAGCCCCTGTCCCTCACTGTGTTGTCAACACGGCAGTTCCAAGGCGTGTGCCAGGCTGTGGAGCAGGATCTCTCACACGCATTAATTGAACAGGCATGAAATGCTGTTTGGAAACTGTAGTGATTTGAGTATGAGTATTTTAATTCCTCTGGTTTTAAGTGTTTATTGACTGTTTTTGTCTACTTTAAATAAACAAAATCATTTTCCAATCAGAGAAGAAAAGAGATTTAAACTCTCGCAGTAACGTTGCTCCTGGGTGAAACACACAATAGCATTAACCTGCAAATATAACAATGGTGACACGTGTATTCCGTGGTGATAGCCGCCTTCTCTGGACTAACAGGATAAAATACCATCTGTGGTGTCTTCTTCACATCATCATTTTGCTGTAGTTTGATTTTGTCCAATCAGGAGAATGTCCTGTACTTCCATCCGTTGGGTAAACAGTAGGTTGAGGTTAACTACTAAGTACACGCTTCCTGAGTCATGCTGTCATATGTTGGGTGAAACATCTTAAGACAGGGATGTCCTGTACACAGGCACTGAGTGAGGAGACCTGACCAAAGCCTGAGCTCTGTGATGAGGTGTTTTAAATTGTTTTACATTCCTTTTCATTCATACAGGCAACAGGGGGGACGTTCTATTTTGTCAGACCACAAGAACAGCTGCAGATCCATGTTGTTGGTTAACTTCTTGTGTTTTGTGGCTTTTTGACGCAGGCTAAGCCTTGGGTATTTTTAGGAGTGATTTGAGTTGACTGTCATTGATATTTGTCCTAAGTGCCTACAGGTATTGCTGCTCTGAGTTAATAATGAATGAATTTCCTTTAATGACGTGGGAATTAATACCTTACTGGTTGCTGTTTAGGAATGTTTGCTTTTTGCTGTTGAAAATGGTTTTAAAAAACATGCACTTGGCCATGTGCCTATCTGATAGCAATCGTGAGGAGGAGAGACACATCTCTGCACCAGATACATATACACATAGTAGGAAATTGCTTTCTTAGCAAGGCAGTAATCGTACAGTTTAAATCCCAGCAATGATAAAGTAAGGGTTAACATTTCAAGATTTTTTTTTTCTTCAGCTTCAGTTACCAATATAAGCTGTACTTGTACATTATTTATGAAAGCTTTTTTATTTCAGTGACGGCTGATGAGCTGTGGAAAGGAGCTTTGGCAGAGACTGGTGTGGGAGTAAAGAAAGGAAGAGGAAAGAGAAGGAAGAAAAAGCTAAGGAAGAATCTCAATAGAGGCCAGGAGATTGGAGAAGGTAGATTCACAAATAAGGGGCTGAAGACGTGGCTTGACCTTTTTGTCTCTAGTGTTTCTTGATTTAATAGATTGACAAATTGCTTTTCATTTCTGTAGTGACAGAACTGCTTGAGATATTTTTGTCTTTTTAAAAAAGATCCGGTAAGGTTGTTTAATGTTATTCTTCTTTTTTAAATATAAATTCTGTATCATAAAATGCACTTGAAACATACGAGAACCTCACATGTTACTGCATTTTTCCAGTGTGCAGAGTTTCAGTCCTAATTTGGCATAAACCGTAATTTTTCTCTGTTATTTTCAAGGACGTTCTGGTTTCCTCTGGCCTGGCCTTAATGCTCCTGTGTTACAAAGTGGGAGAGTCCAGACAGTTACCCAGAGAAAGAAAGAAGAACAAGAGAGAATTCAGTCTGAAATAGTTAAGCAGAGAGATACATGGGAGAAGAAAAGAAAAATAAAAGTAAAGAGAGAGGGAGGATGGAGTGGAAAATGCTGGGGAGGTGTACTTCTGGATCCTCCTGACCCAGGTCCTAACGGAGGTAAGAAAACTGAGTATCTAGCTTTGCCTTACTTAGACTTTCTGTTAAGGGGCTTGGACAAAGTGAGATCCAGACTTTTCCTGTGACTGAAAAGCAATGTTATACTTCCCTCTTATATTCCTATACATGAAGCAAAGCAGCTGAATCAAAGAAGAAGTGTTAAGACAAGTGAAGTTTGTTAAATCACCGCTTGGTTCAATATTGCTGTTTTGCTATTACATTACGCTACAGACTATGATGTTATACTGTGTTAGAGTACTGTGTTTTGTTGTAGACTTTTAAAGGAGTTTTGAAGTATGGATGTATTTTTCTACGTTCAATGTCAATTGTCTTGAGTATGAAATACAGCCATATTTATAGTTTCTTAAAGGATCCTGTGGGATAAATCAGGCTTTTTTTCCTAGTTCATATAATGAAATGTGGTTAAAGATAATGTAGTTTAAATGTAGCTAAGAGAAGTTTCTTACATATTTGCTGCCTAGTTAAATATCATAGTGAAACTAGAGGTTAAATATCATAGTGAAACTAGAGGTCCTATGCGTAGAGTTAAAGATGATGTAGCTTAAATGTAGCTAAGAGCAGTTTCTTATATATTTGCTGCCATAGTGAAACTAGAGGTCCTATGCGTAGAGTGGATAAGTGACTTTAACATTTTTTACAATGTTGTTACTCAGACCACTAGAAACTCTGTAGTAGCTTTCTTTAACATTTAGAAGCCTAATCGTTTTCAGATCGTTAAATATGAAAATGAGTTGTTACTCATACCCAGCTGAGTTTTTCTTATGAAGCACATCATGATGCTTGTATGCTTATTGTCTTTCTGTAGACTTTTATAGTAAAGCGAGCTATGAAAGACAGTTGATATTTCCTGGCGCTGCTTCAGGCTTGTTGCAGACTCCAGTATTCTGACAGTTAAGCTCGTTCATGGAGCTCTCTTTGTCCGAGAGTGTGATGTCCCAGTGCAAGTTTGGATCTTGGAACATATGTTGCAGCAAGTCAACATAAATGGGAAATTGCATGTATGAAACACAATTATATTGTCATCTGCTCTCCTTGCAGTCACCTTTGCTCCCCAGTCTGCCTGGTGCTTTGTTTATTAATTTATTTCTCTTTGTGAATATTTTCTGGTTACGTTTTATTGGACATTAATTAAAAATTCAGGCATGCTTTGTGCCAAGCCTTAAGGTAGCCAGAGCATTGTCTTTCCAGTGTGACCAAATGCCTTTGTCTGTGTAGATTGAAGTTACGCTGGTATTTTTGTAGCTTTCTGCTTTATAAATCAATGCTGCTGCTGTTATCTACTATTTCTCTGTTCCCTTCCCAGCTTTTTCATGCCTGCAGCTGGTATAGGTGATCTGTGGCTTCTGTTGCTGTAATGTGTGAGTTCTATTGTTTCCCCCAGACTTACCTTGTGAGTTTAAGTAGAGCTTGTCTGCCAGTCCCTTCGAGTGTTTTTTGGTCGTCTTCAATTTTAAAAGCAATTCATTCTATTTTGTTATCAGCATAATACTGCGGCATATAAATGAAAGATTTCCTATATTTACTTCCCTGAGTTCCATTTTATTACCTTGAAAGCAAATATTCCACGGAAGGCAGTGATGTGACAATGGGCTTGGCAGCCTGTCACTGAATCTTGCAACTGAAAAAGAGAAGATTTGAGAAATTAATGAATTGTTCCAAATTCCCAGTATGTCAATGGTGGAATATAGACAAAGTCAAGAAAATTTCATGGCTCTAGCTCCATACTTGGAGCACAAGCCTATGTTGGTTTTAAATTCAAATACATTTTCAAGCAGTTTATTCCATTAAAAGAAGAGGCAGCTGTTGCAAACAACATTTATGCATGCCCGAATTTTACCTTCTGGGGTTTTCCTTGATATTGCTTTTGGTTGATACTGTTGAACTTGGTTACTTGCATTAAAGTCGGCTATGTGGAGGCTGTAGTAGTCAGGTTCTGCCAAAAAGATGAAAAGGTACTACAGTCAAAATAAGACAATGAAACTGTCAGGTGGAATTGTAAATGTGTTTGAGAAAAAGCAGTTTCTGATTAGTATATACTGATTTCCTTTTAATCTGCTAAAAATTGTGGCGATTTTCAAGTCCCCATTGTTCTTTCAGTATCTTTTTACTGAGAGAATTGATGATTTTGCAGGAGAACTGGGACATTAGCTGTGTGCAAGGCACTGTCAGGGTGGTAGGAGGAATAGACCTGAAGCCACCATACCTGATGAATCGTTCTGTCTTGAGACTGTGGCATGGCTGGATTCTCTGGTGTCTAAGCAAGCATGAGCTCTGATTGAGATTCTGCAGTTCAGCTCCTCCTAGTATTCTGGTGTTAGATTCTCCAGTAACAAAAGGGGATTGAGCATATGCTGCAGCTTCCTGTCAGCAGCATTCATATTTTCTAATGAAAATAGGCACAGGAAATTTCTGGAAACCTGGATGTTGTTAGCCTTCAACAGCTAACAAATTCATCAGAATGTGACCAATATGGTTAAAAAAAAAAAAGCTCCATATTGTGATTTTTATGTGTGTCATTCTTTCAGAGGGGGTCTTCTTCTGCTACACCTTTACTTATTGTGCTAGCTATGAGTAGAGAAAAACCAGTATTTTTCAGTTGGAAATAAAATTACTTTTCCAGGTTTACCCTGTTTCTATGCAACTGCAGAGGCTTGAACAGAGTGCCTGTTGACATTCATAGCCTCTACTGTGAGCTAGGAGTCTCCTGCTTGGAGACGAATAGATCTCTAAATTGTGCTGAGATTATCGTGTTTATAATGATCTCTGAGGTTGTGTGTAAATGATAAAGCAATGCTTGGCGAAAGAATGAGTTCCCACTTCCTCACCATTCTACTGTTTTCAGCTCCCTGGGCTTTCTCCACAATCTCACTGTAACTACACTAAAAATAAGTCTTAAGTGCCTTAATTAACACTGGTCTTATGTGTTATACTGACATGGTTTTGTTCACGAGATAAATTGGAATAGCAGGAGATTCGAAGGATCTGTTATCTATCTTAACCTGTTCTGCTGCTTTTACCAAGATGTTGTATTTTATTCCATTGTCCTGTTGTTTTCAGTCAGTAGATTTTTTTCCTCAACCAAGCTGATAATAGAATAATCCTTGTGGAAAACATATCTGTATTAAAAGGTAGATCGATTATAAGTATGCATACTCAATTGCATAAAAGGGTACAAATATATTTGCAATTTATATTCAGGTGTTTGTGGGGTCATCAGGTTTTGAAATCAGAAACTCGGAGAAAATGGGGCCTTTTTGGCAGTATCCATGATTTGCAGCATTTTTGCCTGCTTCTGTATAATGGATTTTGAGAAATGTTGATGGGACTGCTGAAAGCTAAGCCTAAGGGATTTGCTTGCTGACTTTTTCTTACAGCACGTGCCAGGGTGAGGGCCTATGGATAAGCTCTGACTGGGCTACAGTCGGCGTGGGTTTGCGCTCTATCCTTTGACTTGCCGTCTCGGAGGCAGTACATGTAGATGCCCATGTCAGGCCCAGAACTCTCCAACGTTCTTGCTCTTTGCTCCTCCACAATGTTCTAAGACATTTCAAAAAGTTCTTACTTTTTGGAAATCCCTTCTAATGACAGAGCAGAAACTTATTAATTTTCTGTGCAGTGAAAGGATGTGTTTGCACGTGGAGCTGAATATGTGATGTTCACCTGAAAAGAGCTCTGTGCTCAGTGTTTCAGTACCACCGTGATGGAAAGACTTGAACACAGATATCATACAGAAGCAATCTTTATTTTACAATACAGAACACCTTAGCTGTTACTAGGCAATAAACGATGCTGTGATTGCCTTTGATTGCAAAGACTTTTTTTTTCAGGCAACATTTGAAATTGAAAGAGGAAAAAAAAAAGCCGTAGTCATCTAGCTCTGTGATTCTTGGTTATTTGAAGTGGCTACGTGTTGTTTTATTTGTCCTGGGTGTTTCTCATCCCTGTGTCTGCCCCCTGCTGCCCCCCCACCCCCGACCCCCATCCCTTTCTGGAATTTCACTGAAATACGTATCCAGAAATACTTGTGATTTCTTTGACTCCCTGTTGATTGTCTAATAAGAGTTTCAGAATATTCTGAACAACATTGGATAATAGTTTGGTCATGTGGGAAGTGACCCATTTGGTAATTTTCCTTTTTATTTTCTAACTATTTACAGCCTTCGCTCAGTGTATATGAAATTTGGGGTTCATTTACAGTTTTAGTGCAGTATTTGGGGAAAAAAGCAGTTTACACTGCCAGCCAGTGAAAACCCCAAACATTCTGTTTACATAAGATACTGTGGATAGTTGTTTTTCATAGCATTTTTGCAGCTGGAAAGAATTAGGAAGTATATCAGATACAATTAAAAAAAAAATGCTTCAGTGTAAGTGGTGAGTTGCAGTGATTTCCAAAAGAAACTTTCAGGTTTAATCTGGAGAGGATGTATAGCTTAGCCTGTGATCAGAATATCAAACAGATCCTGATGATGTCTCAGTTTTTCCTGTCAGCTTTACTTTCTGTTTTATGTGCAAACAAAGCAGTTAAATTTGTATGTCTTGCTCTACCGTTCAAAAAAATGATTACTTTTCCTACTGTGTGCTACTTTGGTCATTTAGGTTGGACAGTCTTTGGAGATTGTTTCTATCTTACTTTTCTGCATGTATGTTACTTAAAAAGATGAAATACTGATTCCAGTTGAAGGTTGGGGTCCCTAATAGAGCACAATGAATTTATTTGATAGTTGTCACCTCTTCATTGTAACAGAAGCTGTGTTGTAACTCTAACAAGAGTGGTATTCCACTTTCTGGGAATTTATCCTTTTAACTGGATTTTTTTAAACCTAGTTTTCTTCACATATGTTGATTTTACTGAAAAAATTAAAAATAAATGATGCTTTATAAATAAGACCTATATGCTGTTTTTTCACTGACCTTATTTTAAAAGAGATGGAGTGAAGTAAAAAAAACCACCCATATTTGAGTTCAAAAGGAAGCAACTAATAAAGCTCACTTTAGATATGTTTGTTCAAATTACTATTACCGTGTCTACTTATTGCTGAGATTGATTTATAAATTACAGTTACATAAAAATGGTGTCCTTTTTAAATTACACCACCTACAGGGAGCTGCGGTGATAGATAAGTGATAGAAGGAATTGTAATACCTTATTTTTCTCCCAACAGAAACTTATGAAGATTTTGAAACAAGAGTCATTGAGGTAAGCATTACAAATCTTTTAAAGACTTGAAATAACTACCACTATTTTATACTGAGCTTGCAATTATTTAACCAGTCTATGCTGAGTCAGTCTTACAGCAGTAGGAATTAGTCTGGTATTCTGTTTCAACTACACGAATTAATCTGTCATTTTTTTTGTTGGGGCCTTATCTTCTCTGCTGGGTAAATCATACCCAACTCAGAGGTGGGTTTGAGTAACTTTGAAATGGCAAATGCCTGCAGATGAAGCTTTAATAGTGCACATACAACCATAATACGGAACCTAGTAGGGTGTTAGGGTTATTTCTTCGACAAAACTACAAGTAGCACGTTGTATAATTCTGCTTGCAGAATAATAGGTGAATGGGGGGAGTGGCCGTCCAGTAGCTTGAATGATTTCTGGATTGATGCTGTGTTTCAAAATCCTTGCCTGTTGCGGTGGTTTTGAATATCTTCTGAGACATGGGAAACAACGATGTTGCGTTGTAATGTCAGATTGGTGTGATAGTTTTCAAAACTAAATCACTGTTTAAGATCAACTCTAACTTTTCAGAGTCTTTAGCAGAATGTGTGAAGTGGTACTGGAATGCACAAGAACAAATGAAATTAGAGTGAATTTAATGAGGGATACCTTTTCCATTAAAGAGTGTATTCAGTCTAAATCTTAAGATGACATTTATTACCCTCGCTGGCAGTAAATATTTAATGTTCTTTGTCATGCATATCTAAACAGGCATGAACGTAAAACTATGCAAACAAGTTTGGTATCAAGATTTTTTTCCGTTTTCTCAAGTATCTCTAATATATTCTTGTCAGGTTTGTCATTGGTGCCAAGAGATGGTAGAAAATAAAATTCTGTCACAGATAGTAGAAAATTTTGTCACAAGTGATAGAAAATAAAATTGTCACAACTGTCAGTCAGTTTGGGTACTACAGTAGGCATTTACTGAAGTGGGCCCTTTTGTGCTGGCCTAACTATTTACCGTCAAATTCATTCGATTAAACAGCAAAGTAAGTTGCTCTGCAATGCTTCCATTTGCTATGGAAATCTGTTTCAATGCTTTATTATATCTGAATAATAAAAAAGCTTTTAGAAGCCAACTGGGACTCAACTCTCATATGAGATTGCCACAGATGTGAACTGAGAAAGAGGAGTGGTGGTTTTTTGCAGAAAAATAGCAGCAGCAATAAACTTCTGTATTCAAAGTGAGCCCAAGACAATTGAGTTCTATAATTTTCTTGTAACAAGTATGCGTTTTGAAATAAACAGATCTTTTTTAGCATTCTTATTTTAAATAGATGGCATACATGATGCTATTTCTGTATGTCTTTTGCATTATCTTTATCTTCACAACAGTACTGGAGATTAAAATAACGTTTGCTGGGAAAATTATCCTTTGCAGCAAGAAACTGAAAGCCATTTTTAAAGGAGTCTCTTAAGAACAAAGATACAAAAGCCCCATTCTGTTGTGATTATGCTACTAAAAAGGCTGTGTTCCCTCGCTAAATTCAAGAAATTGCTTATTAAAGTGCTTTCTTACAATGTAGAGACAGAAAGCTAACTTGGTGTTTCCCTGCTTGTAGAGTACAGTACAGGCAAGGTCAAATTTTGAGGTAAACTAGAGCTAAAGTTGTCATAGTGAAAAAGCTAGTTGGGGGGGATTGTGAAGCGAGGGCAGCAGGGACTGCACATCGGTTTTGTTCCTGACTTTCCTACAGACTAGTGCATTACTTGGAGTAGGTGACTTGGGGCCACCTGTTTCTTCCCCTGCCAACCTGAAGGCATGTTTCCTGTTTTGTTCACATATTACACATAAGAGTATCTGCGAATAGAACTGGTAGTAGTATTTACTATTGTTTAACATAGTGGGATAATAGTGGTAGTTAAAATTTACAGCTGTAGTTGACGTATGCCATTGTTATTTTAACTGGAAGGCTTCATTTCATGTATCATCCATCCTCAGATTACTTTTTCTTATATTTTTCTCCAAAATCAGCATGGTAACAGAGTAATGAAGTAGCCTAGGTGATATCCTGTGTTATGATAGTATTTGCCTTGTAGTGCAGTCAAAATTAGAAAGTGAGACCTTCAGTAAGGCCAGAAGATACATCACGTGAGGTTAGTGGCCCTTCAAATCCTTCACAAATTGGAGCTTTCTAAGGGAGAAGGTAACCTTATAAAAGAATGCCCTTTGCAAAAAGACCTATCTGGGGATGTTTGTCCAACACTGAAGTTGCCTTCTGCCCCTTGGAAAAACGTGCCTTTTGATCATTTACTATACGTTCATGCTTTTTTGTTTTCATTGCTGTTTCTAATAAAGGTAACACAGGTACTTTGATTTATATACAGAGCTTCATGTGTCATGAGCTGGGCACTGGGGTGCTGGTATTACCTTCTGTGGTTCTTGAAATACAAAATCATCTTATGTTGCTATTCTAGTTCAGGGTTATCTCTCATTCTTTCTTACGTTGTAGGTAAACTGTATGTGGACCTTTTTCTTTTGAGTATTTCTGGGGGTTTTGTTTGTTTCTTTTTACTTTCTAAGAGTGTGGGAAGGAAGGGAAGAGATCATTTTAACACTTGCGTAGTAAAAATAACTGGTTCTTCCTTAGATAGACTCAATCAAACTAAATTGCATTGAGTGGATTTTCTGAAAAGCAAAAGGATGATATTTTCCCAGAAACTGGTTCAATGATGAACTCTATAGAAAGCCTTTGAGAAGAAATACTTCTGTCTTACAATCTAGATAGTGTGCAGTAAATGAAGCCAGATTCTACACTGTCACCTAAATCTTCTCTTTTTTTTTGCATGTTACCTCCAGTGTAGTTCTTCACAGACTTGATTCTTAGTTGAATTGGCTTGAGTTTGGGTATGCTTCTCAGAGTTGTATCATAGTATTGGCAGTTCATATCTGAGTCTTGATGTGCCAAGACTTCATGCAAAACCTGTAATTTCTTAAAGCTGTCGGTTTCTATAAAGTGAGTTTGGTCATCTTGTTCTTCCCCTGTTGTCTTCAGACATTCAGCTGGATTCAAACCTACTTTTTTTGACTGTCTGAGACTGTTTGGATGCAGCATTTGCCTCAACTGTTGTATGGCACTTTGGAGAAGCAAGACTGAAAAGAGCAATTGGAAAAAAGCACTTTTCTGATTGGGGTCAGCACAACTTGCGTGTGATGTGGGTTGTGCTGCCCGTGTACAAAGAAAGTAGTGTTAGGTGTGCTTGTTGTGGTCCATTTGGATCACTCAAATTTACAGGGCAACATACTCTGTAAATTAAACTTTATTTTATGACCTTACTAGGAAGGAAGACACACATATGAAACGAGTGCTCAATCCTCTTTGTACTGACTAGTCTTAACACATGAATTCACTAGTTCATCACTTAATTCATGAATTTTCTAAATCAAAGGTTTTCTAATTCATAACATGTAACTTGCAACATGTAACTGGTGCATCTGTGGGCAACACGGGGAAGCACGAAAGCCTCAGCAGTCCAGCTGCTGTCAGATCCACTTCAAAATCTTTTTGGGTAAACTGACATGTGTACCATCCAGCTTGGAAGTCTGGTCTTGCCATGAGTTAGGGGATTCTGAAGAAACTGCTACACAGTCAGTATGTAAGAATGGTGGCTGGAGGGGAGAGCAAGCTGCAGGGGGCAGTGGCTGCATAACGACCACTAACCCTTCTGGCCATCATGTTTGTCTATATGCTCCACTAACAGACCTAACAGAGCTGTTCCTGGCGTACATCAGGCCTTGGCGTGAGCTGTGTGGTAGCAAAATTCTGAGCAGGAGTAGAATGAGCAGTCACTATTCCTAGCTGGAAAAGATTTGGCTGGGCAGAGAATGGATCAATAGGAGGCCTGAGAGGAAGGATTTGGGGGGAACTGGTGGACAACAAGCTGGACATG